CACATGAGGGATTCAATCCTGAGAGTGACAGCTGGGTCACCTTTGAAAATTGGGGACAATACTATCAGGATCTTGAATGATATCCCATTTGAAATAAGACAAAGGAGAAAGAAATACAAAGATTTAATCCTTTTTCTTCAAACAAATGCAATAGCGTACAGGTGGCTAATTCCAGAAGGCATAACCTTCAAACTTCAGGATAAAAAAGAAAAGATTGACTCTGTTTACAAAGCACGGGAATTTCTGAGAATCCAGTTGGCCTAAAAGTCCTTACAAACTGCGGAAAAGACAGGATAAGAAAAAATGAAGGCTGAAGGACTCTGAATTGTGCCTTTGAAAATATTACTGTTAATCATGTGATGCTTTGGGGTCACGAGCTGGACTCGGGGTCCTCCGGAGAGGATTCTCATTCGAAGAAAGGGGCGGCGGCCCCTAAAAGTCCTTACAAACTGCGGAAAAGACAGGATAAGAAAAAATGAAGGCTGAAGGACTCTGAATTGTGCCTTTGAAAATATTACTGTTAATCATGTGATGCTTTGGGGTCTTTTTTCCCAAAAGATACATTTAAGACTTAAAAGTTACATTAGCATAACTGACTAAGTTCATAAAATTGTTAGCGTGTTAAGGGATGGCTTTGTAACCTAATTTGATTATCTCCTCTCTTGGGTTTTTAGTTAGTAGTGGTTATCTTTTCTTTCTCCTTAATTGTAGTTCCCCTCCCCTAGTTCTTATATATAATGCAATAAAAAAATCCCCTTCGGGGGGCCAAAAGAAGAAGAAGAGAGAATCTAATATATATTGAAACTGCATCACAGTGCAATGGCAATACCAAATTAGTGGCATGTATGGTGGTGTGGCCCTCTTCTCTCCGTCACATGCAGGATTTCTCTTGCTGATCCTCTACCTTTGTAATCCACTTTCTCAGTTACGGTATGTCATGCTTTAGACAGGTTTGTGTTTTCCAGTTGTTTTCTAATTCTGTAATCCTAGTACTGTCACATTGTTTAATGTGTGTGTTTTGCCTCTGATTTGTTTTCTGTATTTTGAGTCTCAGCGAGAAAAGTAGGCTATGAACAATGAAAGCAAGCAAACAGGAAATAAATGTAATTGTTGGTAAATATATGCTGGGAGTTATGCAAGGGAAGCCCACTGACCTTTGCTGATCATTATCTGAGTAATGGCATTACTGAACGTGGTTGATTTCAGGTGTAACTTTGTTGTCTATATGGGGCTTTTCATAATCTATTCAGTTAGAGTGCTTTCTGATAATAAATTTCCCTGAGGCAGAACGATGCTTGTGTAGGCCACAACAGCCATCATTAGAAGCTCAAGCAAAGGGTAATAATAGTACTCCATATTAACATCTGTCAGTGAGAGGTGGATGCCAGATAATCTGTTAGCCTGCTTTTTGGGTTTGTTTTTTTAAAAATTCAGCCACGCTATGTGCTTTCCATCTGGATGGATACTAGAACTGAGCATAGCAGATCTTAGGATAATATCCTAGCACAGCATTTCAAAGTAACAGGAGGCCAACAAAAGATATATCAATGAGGCAGTCTAGCTAAGATTCTAATGTATCAACAAGTGTCTTTATGTAAAAGCTGCTGTAAGATGGAAGGTGGTATTTCGTAGTTTCGCTTTAGAAGAACAAGAAGAGAGGATTTATACCCTGACCTTCACTACCCAAAGGTGTCTCAGAGCGGCTTACAAACTCCTTTCCTTTCCCCTCCCCACAACAGACACCCTGTGAGGTAGGTGGGGCTGAGAGAGCTCTGACAGAAACGGCTCTTTT